ACAGCAAGGTCCTGCTTGGGGAGAAGCCACCAGCTGGCCACAGTCCTGGAGCATGAGACTGTCACAGGGCAACCTTAGGCCTGGCCTTGGGCACGCTTGTGTCTGAATAAGTCTGCTCCTGCCTCACCCACCCTTTGCCAAATGTGCTCTCTTTTTGGGACCAGCGGGGCTGTCTCAGGCCTTCTTGCAGAAGGAGCTGGTGTTGGATCTTGTTGTTTCTTGCAGTCATGTTGTGCTTAAAACTGGCTCCTCTATGCCCTTCATTGTTGTCTTTCCCCCCGCCCCCTAGTGTACATGTGCATATGTACACGTGTGTGTATGCACATGCATGCACTGCAGCCAGTGGATACAACTTGGTTAGGAATAGCGTTTGCTTTGTCATAATGCAAGCAGGGAAAACAATAGGACCTGAGACCTCTGGGTTACAGGCTTAGCGTAACTCCAGGTGTGAGGCCCTGGGTGCAGGTAGGTCGGATGGCAAGTGCTGTTGGTAAGGTAGAGATAATGGCTAACGTGAGGGCATCAGCTACCTAGCAGGAAGCCCAGGTACCTGCTCTGGGCATTTCGGGGAGGCAAATTAATAGTTGAAGCAATAGTGCAGCTGTGGCTTGGTGTGCACGTTAGTAACAGCAGATTAGCTAATTCCACCATGGAAAGTGGAACCCCCTAAATAAGGGAAGCACAGAAGCTAAATACAGAGAAGGGGTCCTCCTGGATGTGCCACACACTGAGCCATGATTTTCCATCTGAGAGCCTCAGCGTCGTGGGGCACCTTGTGATACTTTCAAGGGTGCCGTGGGGTGCCGCACCATGTTAGCCCTGCGCACATGATTCTCAGCTAAACCCAGAGACTTCCCATAGGAATCCAGAGGGTTAAAACCAGCCTGCCCTGGGCAGTCCTCCTGACTTCTCTGCAACTGGAGAACTGCTCTAGTATTCCCCGCCCCGCCGTCAAAAAAAAATCAAGTGAAGAGCTGGCATTTTCTGAGAGGGGCCTTGAGTGTAACGAGGTGTAGGAGGGGGATGGAGGGGAGTTAGGCTGCAGCAAAGTTACCATTCCATGGTCCCTACCCCCAGGCCTGACGGCCCCCCACCCCAAGGGACTGAGCTGTCACATGAACACTGGTCACTCGGTATTGCTGTCCTCCCCTTTATTAGATTCCCATTGTGCTCAGACTTGTTGGTACTCGATCCGCCTGCCTTGCCTGAGTGTCTCGGGACCCCACAGTACATTAACAACCTTTCCACCATTGGAAAGGTACACCATTGGAGCTGCTACCAAGGCATCACCATTTATAGAATGATATGTTAAATAACTCTGATTGATTAATTTGTGCTTTGGATGATTACTATGAGCCTGTAACCTTCCCCATCAGGTGCGCCTTCTGTTCAGGGGTTAGCATCTTCCGGTCTGCGGACTTTGGTCTCCAAGGAAGGAAATCCAAGATGGGTTGGCAAGGTGCTTTATTGATACCCAGTGTGGGGATGCCCTGGGTCCCTCTAGCCTGTTCTGCCTGGAAGTATGAAAGTTAGCAAGGGCCCATCTCAAATCCTATTATCTGCCTGTGTTTATGGGCTTTAGTGACTGAGTTTCCCTGGATAAGGTCAATCTTGTTATCCCAACTGCTCTTGTGGTTGTTGGGATAATGAGCTTGGGATGGAGGGTCTTGGGGAAGCTAGGGCATAGGTGCACTGAAAGATGTATGTATTTAATGGAGTTCATAGCATCTCTGGGGTTCTCTCCACCCCATAATACAGGATTTTGTTGTGGTGAAAGTCCTGGAGGTCGGGGAATGGAGGCTGTGAACTGGGACTCGTTGTTGTGCACCTTTAGGCAGTAACCTTTGAAATCACTGGTGAGCCCTCTAGCTGTGCTTACTATGTTGTGTAGTCATGTGCGCACTCACGGGCACCCACACACCTGCACGCACACTTCAGCACACAACCAAGGCCAAGAAACTCCTCACTCTCACTCTCACTCTCACTCTCACTCTCTCACACAGCAGGCTGTCTCCCAGTCAGCTAATGCCCTGATTTCTCCTTGGATTGCTTAAAGCCCCTTGCCCAACCATGTGAAAAGCTTCTGCTTTGCTCCCCTGCTGAGGCCACATCCACGCCAGTGCTTGGCTGTTGGAGCAGAGCCATAGCCTGTCCTGGTGTGGATGTGGTTCTTGCTGCAGGCTTGAAACTGCTGGCTATGGGTTAAGGCTGGATCTGGCTCTGGTCCCTGCTCTCAGGCTGGGTGTCCAGGGTAGCAGCTTGGGTTCGAGTGCAGCACGTGGCAGGGTGGTGCTGTGCTGGGAGGCCCCAGCAAGCAAGTGTCTGGGGGCAGCACCACAAAGGCATTGGTGGCTCAGTGGCTATGAGTAGCCCCTGTCTAGGCAGGTTGCTGCCAGATGAGGGGAAGCGACCCCCAATGAAGTTGCATATCCCACAGGTGGGATTGTTCAGGCTAGAATTTGGGTATAGACCCACATGTACTTGTATGTCCACAGACATGGACACACATGCATGCTCCAACTGCAGAGGAAGAATTGCAAAGGCCATCATGAGCTCAGCTGTGGCAAGGGCCAAGCCCGGCCTCCCTCGTCTTTGCCACCTGATAAGGCAACCGATTGTAGAGCTCCCCATATCTGCCAGGCTGAAGGAGCAAATAGGTCTCTGCGGTGCATCTGCCATGGGCTGAGGGCAGCACAGTCATGGGGGCCATAGCATGGGCATCTTCCACCCATTTACTTCCTGGGAACCTTGGACGTCCTCCTTGCTGCTGGCGCTGTTGCAGTCTAGGGCAGGACCAGGCTCCGTGAAGCAGTCCCTGGACAAACAAGCATGTGAGAGGGAGCAGGCAGGGACCTGGGCCTGGCTCCTGGGGCATCCCCTTGGGTGAAACCTCCTGCAGGCCATCACCTCCAAGCTCTTGGGCCCCTTTAGCAATTCAGGCGGGTGAGGCAAAACTGGCCTCCGAGTCCCTTACCTCTGTCCCTGGCTCTGCCAGCTGGGTGGGGAAGGAGCAGTGGATGGGGAATGGCTTTACTTGGCTGCATTTCCCTGCTTCTCTGTCCTACAGCAATGGGCCCAATCCTGTCCTGACAGCCCCAGGGGACAGAGGCAGGTGTAGGACAGGAATAGTTGGGCCCTGTGCGAAGGGTGTGTGGCTAGTACATGGGAAGCATTATTCTGCTCCTGGTAGCCTATGGGGGCAGGCTGGCCAAGTCTATGGAGAGTCCTGCTGTTTAGTTCTTCGAGCGTCAGCTCCCCGAGTCCTGGGACCTGCTGAAGAGAGGAGACAGGCAGAGACTGGCAGAGAGGTGGCAAAGCGCAGGGTGGTGCTTGGTATGATTTTAGGGCCTGTTTGAGCCCATCTTGCTCCTTTTATAGGGTCCCTTTGGCAACCCCTGACTGTGCTTGGACTGGCAGGGGCGGCCACAAACCCTGCTTAGTCCCAGGTGGTGGGGAATTCCTATCTTGCTGCTTTTCCTGCTCATTGCAGGTTGTGCTGCCTCACCTCTAGCTGCCAATGACCCTGCTTTCCCACCCAGCAGAGCTGAGTCCTGTTCTGCTCTGGATCAAAGGTAGGACGCGTGATAAGTTCCCTGCATGATGCCTTGGCTCCGGCTGTCCAGGAGCCAGATGCACCCAAGGGTATTTTGCTGCTGGAGGTGTCCCGGGCAGGCTGTTCCCAGCCTGGGCTGCTGAGCGCAGGGGCTGAGACCCTTCAGGCATCTTATTGTAATTGCTTCTCCGGCAGCTTGCACACGATGCTCGGTGCTTGCTGCCTGTCCCCTCTCAGGGCTGCAGGCGAATGGGGCTCCAGCAAGGAGCATCACATTGCGCTGGTCTCGGTGCATTGCTGCTAGCATCTCTTGGCACCAAGTGGGGGTTGTGCGGCCGCTGAAGTAGCAGGGACGTGCAGCTGGCGTGAATGTGGGTGGCTGGGTCTGGCAGAGTTCGGGACATAGCATGGTAACGGTATTAGCTTGTAACTGCAGTAAGTGTGCAGCACTCAGCATCTTTTTGGGCAGGCAGGAAGAGAGGGGAAGATCCTGGCTTTGGAGCTTGCCGTGGACAGACCCCGTAGAGCAGAGGCAATTGTCTCTGGGGTCTAGTTTGGGGTTCAGGAGGGCTGTGTCCGGGTGGTGCCCTTGGATTTCCCGCTTCCCTGCTGTGATGGTTGGAGGAAGCTTGTATGTTCAGTGCCTGCAGCCCTGGGTTCCTGATCCTGATGAAGCGGAGACTTTGGATGATGCGCGGCTGGAAGGGGGTGCATGGGGCAATGACACATCCGGGCTGTCTGGAGAACAGGACCCCCTTGCACGGGGGCCCTGCACTGTCCTGCAAAGGCAGCTGCCTTCAGCAGGGCTCCTGAAGTGCTTTACTTTGGCTTCTCATGTCCTTTGGCACAGCCCCCCCCGGCTAATATTAACCCTGCATGTGGCTTTTAATGGTGCAGGGAGGAAAGGGGCCGCTCAAACTCCAGAGTGCGGCAAAAGTCTGGTGCCCTAATGCCCATGTAGGCACATGGCCAGGATCTGAGGTGGGGAAGGGAAATCTGTCCTCTGAGGCAGCAGAAAACGTCCGGGTGTCTGTCCATAACTGTGCCCTTCAGAAAGGTTAGGCTGCAAGGAAACGTCCAGGCGACGACTCCTGGGTTCCCTTCCTGGCGCTTCAGCCGCAGGCGAGGGTGGCTGGGGGCAGGACCTCTGAGAGCCTGCTTCTGAGGGCGCCTTTTGGGGTCAGGGCCGGGCGTTTGGGTGCCAGTGGGATGCTACTAGCGCCTGTCTCTCTGCCGCCTCAGCTGGTTTTCAGCAATAAAAGGAGGTGGGAGCCAGGAGCGCCGCACTTCTTGTCCCAAAGGCTGCTCCTTATCGGCAGTGTCAACAAACCCAGTATTGACAGAGCACTGGGTTTACTGTATTCACTCAAGCTCAGCCCTTCCCTTCCCGGCGCTCCCTCCCTTGGATCAGCTGAGTAAAGCATGTGCATGCTCTTCTCCCCGGCAGGAGTCCGGCGCGCTCCAGACCCCGCAAATGGATCAGCACGTGAATGGAGCGATGGCCGAGAAGCAAAACCCTGTGGACTACGGGGTCCAGATCCGCTTCATCGATGACCTGACGGAGCCCAAGAAGCCCCACAAGATGCGGTCCAAGGCAGCCAAGCCGAGCTCCTACGGGGTGGCAGTGCGGGTGCAGGGCATCGACGGGCAGCCCTTCGTGGTCCTCAACAGCGGGGAGCGTGGCAGTGACTCCTTCGGTGTGCAGATCAAAAGTGAAAGTGCGTACAGCGGCCTCCCCGCCGCTCAGCCGTCGCCCGCCAGCTCCCCCAGTCGCTACCCCAAGGAGGCTTCGGGTTCACTCAGCTCCGACTCCGACCTGCCAGAGAACCCCTACGCAGCACGGCGCGCCCGGTACAGCACGTCCGACGAGGAGCAGAGCTCCCGGCCCCGTGGGAAGGGACCTCCGGCCAGCCCTGCCCGGTCCCCGTCCCCTCAGGGTGGCCGCCGGCCACTGCTTCCCAAGAAGCCGTTCAGTGACGAGCTGAGGCGGACGCAGTCTCACAGCTCTCTGCTGGGCCCCGAGTCAGGGGAGCCCTTTGGCCCGAGCCGTCCCAGCGCGCAGACCAACGGCACCGCTCAGCCACGGCCGCTGGGCAAGGCCAAGAGCGGCAGCATGGTGAACATCGCTGTCCAGAAGGGGCCCGAGGCGAGCGAGAAGGCCTCTTCCGCCTTTGGCCGGCGGCCCGTTGACAAGCAGCCGCCTTCTGACCCAGAATCCTCCAGGCCTGGCCCACCGGCTGCCACGGGCGACATTGACACGAAGCCCCTGTCCTCGGTGGATTCCCTCATCAGCAAGTTTGACGGGACGGTCCAGCAGCGAGGCCGCACTGCCCGCCGCAGCCGTATCCTCCCGGACGAGAGGAAGCGGTCGCAGAGCTTGGATGGGCGCGTGTCCTACCATGATACAGCGGACTCCCGGGAGCTGACCACCGCCAGGCATGGGCCCGGCTTCCAGAAGGGGCTGAAGCCGCCCGCTGTCACCACGCATGCCAGCAGCCTGCCCAGGACGAGGAGGGAAGACCTGAAGACCAGCATGGCCAGCAGGTCCCAGCCCACACGGGACTGGGCAAATAATGGCCCTGAGGAGCCTCTGGTGGAGCAGCAGCAAAGTCAAGCGCAGTCGGAGTTGCAGGTAACGTATCCCCTTGGCAGTGCTGCGTCTCTGGGGACCCTGGTGCAGCCACGTGCTCTTGAGGCCTTTTGAATCATCCTCCCCTTCCTGGCAGAGGGGGACACATGGCATTTGTGTGCTCAGCTCTGCCACTCGTGGACCGCTCTGGGATGAGCCATGAGCGGTACTCTCAGCTACATGTCTGCCTTGGAGGTGCTTCCTGGCCATGGGCTGTGCCAGGCACAATAGGTGGCAGCAAGTCATGGCACTGCAGGGACACTTTCCAGGCACTTTCTGCACTGGATGTTCCCCCGGGCTTGGCTCTCCTGGCTCCGCCTGGCCTGGTACATCCAGGCTGTCTCCATCAGTCCCCTGTGCCCATGGAAGTCCAGTCCCACCCATGTGTCAGCGGGACAAGCAACACACTTTCCTCTGTTGGGAGTGCAGGTGGTCATAGGTGGTTGGGATCTCTCCCAGTGAGGAGCAGTCTGCGCCCTGTAGGCAAGGCGTCCTGTGCCCAGAAGCAGTAGCATTGACTTGCTTCGTAGCATCCAGTGCTGGCTGCCATGGTGGGCAGAACGGGGGGTTTTGCTGCAGGGCAACAAACTTCTGCGTGCATCTCTTGGGCAGCTCAAGTCCACTCCGGACCTACTGAAGGACCAGCAGGAAACGTCTCCGGCTGGGAGCAGTGAGCACATGAAGGAACTGATCTATGCTATCCTGAAGGACGGGTGAGCAGGTGCCCTGGGGAGGGTGTCTTGGCTGGTGGCGCTCCTGTTAGCTCCAGCTGAGAGTCTTGGGGTGGTGGAGGTGGTCCAGTGTCCTCCAGCGCCTTCAGCAGGTTCGGCCAGGCTGGGCTGTCTAAAAAATCTGATCCCCCTCATGCAGGAGAACTGGCTCCTTTGAAATCAGTTCTTTAAGGCCTAGTCCTGTTGTGCGCTGAAAGCCTGGACTCCACAGGGCTGTTGTATTAGCCTCCCTCGCATGCCAGCTCCAAGGTCTCCTGGGTGTCTCAGGGGTGCAGGTGGTGACTAGCTGAACCAGCGAAGGGGACTTGCTTCCAGTGCAGTGGGTTCCTGTTGCACTAGCCCTGGAGCTGGGATGTGCACAGGGAAAAGGCAATGGCTGATCATGCTGCAGCCGGACTGCAGAAGCCTCCTTTTGGGGCAGTTACATCTGGTGTCCCATGCAGGCCTTTCAGATTCAGACCTCTTGAAAGGGGCAAATGTGAAGGTCATGAGTTTGGCAAAAATGAGGAGGGAACAGCCCTTCTCCCCCAGCTGGGTTTATCCCAGGGGTTTCCCTGCATCAGCAGCTCGGGCAGGATCAGATGCCGCCTTGTGCCAACTGCGGCACAAGTCCCAGTCTCCAGTGTCTCAAGTCTCAAGTGTCTCCAGTCCCAGTCTCCAGTGTCCTTCTTCCACAGTCCCCTTCGGCTAAGTGACTCCCCCCGGTTCACCCGAGACACCAGTGGTGGAGTTGGGCATGACCCAATATCTCCCTGGCTCCAGCCCCTCGCGCCTCTACCTTGTGGTCCCAATGCGGCCGCTTGCCTGTGTCCATGATCCCTGCCTCCTGCCTTTCTAGGAGCAAAGACAGCGAAGTCATGCTAAAGAGGAAGGCAAACCTGCTGCTGGAGAAGGTCCAAAAACTTGCGGTGAGTCAAGCCCCTTTCCTCCCATGGAGGAAGGAGCAAGCGCTTTGCCTGTAGCTTTGGGAAAGCTGAAAACGGCTGGTGCCAAGGGAGAGAGCTGGGTTTGCCCTGCCTCTGCCACAGGTGGTTGTAATGACCTGGGGCAAGTCCACTAGCCCCTAAGTAGCTCTTGAGGTGAATGGAAGGGGAGATGGTGGTGGGGAGGCTGCTTGCATGGATCTGATACCGAGGTAGTTTGAGGGGGCCTGGAACCAGCAGGGGGGCCCCGGCTGGATGGCAACAACAAAGCCTCGAAGTGAAGAGCTGCTCTCAATGGAGGAGACTGAGAAGAGGATGAAGGGGCTCTGGGACCCCTCCTCTGGCAGAGCAGGGGTCGGAGGCCAGGCCCAGCCCAGCACCACCTGCTTCGGCCCAGTTCCAGAGCCCAGGATTTGCACCCAAATACAGCATCTTCTGCAGGTGCCTCCTGAGGATGTGGGAGTCCCCAGCCCCCAGCAGGCTGAGCTGGCGCGGAGGGTGGAAGAGCTGCAGCACAAGCTGGACGAGGAGATGAAGGTGAAGGGGCTGGGTGCTTGGGAGCGGAGAGGGCAGGGCAGTCTGGAGGGGCTCCCAGCCTTTCTCAGGAGTGGGGAGCTGGGAGAGGGGCTGGGGACTCCTTGCAACCCTCAGCGCAGCGTGGGAAAGGGCCGTCGGATCTCTCGCAGCCTCTGGTGACTAGACGGGTATAACGCTGAGGGGAGGGGGCAGCCTCCATGGCAGTGCCTCCATGGTAGCATCTCAGCCACAGTAGGTGGGTTTGTCTCTGCTACCACAGCTCTGTACAAAACCCGTGGAGGAGTGATAGCCCTCATCCCCTCCAACCAGCTGGGACTTGGCTCCGAGCCGGCCCAGCCAAGCTGACTCCGCAGCCAGCCTGACTCTGGGGGCCTGAGGGATCCAGCCAAGCAGATAGGGCTGCGTGCCAGGCCGAGGTGCCAGCTGATGTGGTATCCCCCTGAGCCTGTGTTTCTTGGGGAATAAATAACTCCATCCTCTTCCACCCGCAACAGCTCCGCCAGAAGCTGGAGCTCACCAGGGAGTCTCCCAGGAGCAGCGCTGTGCAGAACCTGGAGCTGCAGGTGGCCAGGGTGGAGGAGGAGTGTCAGCGCCTCCAGGGAGCCCTGGAGAAGAAGAGCCAGGAGCTGCAGAGCAGCTTGAGAGAGTAAGAGCTGCTCCCTGCACCCAGAGCTGGCTCTGGGCCTGGCGGTCACGAGCAAGAGCAGAGTGCTGTATCCCCTCGGCTTGCCTACTCCCCCCTGACCCTCCCTTCACTTCAGCCAGGAGAGAAGATCCCTTGCATTCCCCTGGGCACTCAAAACAGGCACTCTCCTTCCCAGCTCAGCACATTACCCCCACTCAGGCTACTCTGCCGAGGGGTCAGACCTCCTCCCCTGCTGGGCTGAGACTCAGCCCCTCCAGTCCGGCTCAATGGGGCTTGTGCTTGCTTCCCCCCACCCCTAGGCTGAGTGAAGTGAAAAGGGCCAGAGAGCAGGCCGAAGCCAGGCTGGGTGACTGCGAGGAGCAGTTGATGGGGATGCAGGAGGAGCTCGACCGCCTCCGGCAGGGCCTAGGAGACGTGCCTGAGGGGGATGCACTGCTGAAGGTATGTGGGTGCGTTGGCAGCACTGGGCTGGATTCAGCAGGTGGAAAGGGTCCAGCTCTGGCAGCAGGCAGGCCCCGAGCATGGCTGCAGGGGTGGAACTGGCCAGGGAAGGTGATGGGGGAAACTGAGGCACGGCAAAGTGACATAGATGAGGCCACTCAGGCAGTTGGTGGCAGAGCTGGGCCCAGACCGAGCTCCCTGCATCAGCAACCCTATGGTCCCGCAGGACCTGCTGGAGACCCGGGAAGAGCTGGAGGAGGTGCTGAGTGCCAAGCAGCGGCAGGAGGAGCACCTGCTGCTGCGGGAGCGGGAGCTGACGGCGCTCAAGGGCGCACTGAAGGAAGAGGTGGCCAGTCACGACAAGGAGCTGGACCAGCTGCGGCAGCAATACCAGCACGACGTGGACCAGCTGCGGCGCAGCATGGAGGACGTGTCCCAGGCAGGGCCTTCTGCAGCACAGGGGGGGAAGGAGAGATGGGGCTGGGGCCTGGGGCCAGCAGGAACCACAGGCTGGCTGGAGTCTCCCCAGCTTCCCTCTGGCACCGGGCTTTGTTCTCGACTTCCTGTCCTCAGTATGCCTGGCGCTGCCATGCTTCTGAGCTGGGAGCTACCCTGGTCGGGGCTGCCCCAGGTGGACTGGGATCTTTTATCACACCAGCCTCTGGTGTGGGTAGCCTCGTGCACACTTCCCAGGCTTGAACCATGTTGTGCTTCAGCACTGGTGCTACAGGGGCTTCTCCTTGCATCCAGGTTGCCCAGGTATAACTGGGCAGGGTTGGGGTGGGTGCAGTGACCCCAGCTCCCAGAATCTTGTGCTAAAGGGGGCAGGGGGGGAATCTACCAGGCATCACTTTGCCCCCCCCACCCGATGCCAGCCTGCCCCTCCCCTGCCCCTAGGACCAAGCCGACCTGGAGACAGAGCGGCAGAAGATCAACTCGATAGTGAGGAACTTGCGGAGGGAGCTGGCAGAGAGCACTGAGGAGACCGGGCACTGGAGGGACATGTTCCAGAAGAACAAGGAGGAGCTGCGCAGCACCAAGCAGGAGTAGGTGCCGAGCTGCCCCTGTGGTGATTGGGGAGCTATCGGGTCCAGTCCAGCTGCCACTGCAAGGCTGGCTAAAGATAACGTGATGAAGGCTGGGAGGGTGGGAGTTGCAGAAGGGAGAGGGTTGCTTCAGTCTCACCTGGGCTGTGCTTGGCCACTGGGCAGGTTCACAGCTCGTTGATGCCAGGGGATCATAGCAGAGGGGTCCTCTTTGGTGGAGGGAGGGGAGGGCTGGCAGGGGGCATGCGCCTCGCTCCCTGGGACAGGCTGGGATGACCCTGTGCAGCCTTCATCATCTTGGCCCCCAGCCAGCCATGATAATGGGCCCTGTCACAGTCCCCTGGGGAAGCTCACCCTGTCCTACCCACCCCCTCCCACTGCAGGCTGATGCAGGTGAAGCTGGAGCGGGAGGAGTTTGAAGAAGAGCTGCGGGAACTGCGGGAGCGATTCTCAGCCGTGCGGCTGCAGGCTGATCAGGCTCGGAGTAACACCGTGGGCACTGGCGAACTCGAAGCCCTCAAGAAGGTGCTGCCTGCTACTGGGGTGTGAGGGGCAGGCAGAAACAGGTCCCAGAGACTTCTCCCCACCCCACAGGGAGCCCTTGAGGCCAGGCCAGTGCTGGGATGACCAAGCGCACAGGGCCTGCAGGGACATAGCCACAGCGTGCTGCCCTGTGGCTGCCTCGGGCCCCTCCCTGCTCTCAGAGCTCATGGGTGACCCCCCCCCTCCCACCATAGGAGCTGCGCCAGGCCCAGGAGGAGCGGAGGGAGCTGACAGCTGAGAAGCAGGCGCAGGATGAGCTGTTGCGGCAGCGGGAGAGGGAGCTGCTGGCGCTGAAGGCGACGCTGCAGGAGACGGCAGGCAGCCACAGCCGGGAGCTGGAGCAGCTGCGTGAGCAGTTCCAGAGGAGCCTGCAGCAGCTGCAGAAGGACTCGGATGAGGCTGTCAAGGCAAGTGCTCCCTGTAGGCTCCTTCTGTCTGCCTGGGTGACGATGGATGCAGGTCGGGAAGGGGTGTGCATGTGATGGGCTAACAGAGGCTTCTACATGCCCCACAGACCCCAGGCATCTTCTTCCCAACTTGCAGACCTGCCCCCTAACATCCTTAGGGAGGGTTCCTTCCTTGCAGAGAGCCCATGATAGAGGCCGCAGCCTTGGGGCCTGTCTCCTTTGGGTTGTGTATTGGAGTCCCACCCCTCACCTGGGCTTGGGACTCACCCGCCCATCTCCACAGGGGAAGGTGGTGCTGGAGAGTGAGCGGGAGGTAGCAGAGCAGACACGGAGGGCAGTGGAAGCCACGCTGCGGGAGACGCAGGAGCATAATGATGACCTGCGCAGGAAGGTCCTGGGTCTGGAGGCGCAGCTCAAGGACTACCAGCATATGACTGAGGACTGGGAGGGTGTCGAGGCCCGTCTCAAGGACAAAATCGCCAAGCTGGAGGTAGGGGACCATGGCAGCCTGCTGTCCTCCATGGGACTGGGCACCAGGGCTCTCATGTATTGGTGCAGCCTCCAAACAGAGCATGGCACAAGCTCTGCCCTGTGAGTTCCAGGCCAGTGGCATGCAGGTGGAGGACAGACTACTAGAAGCCGGTGTCCTGGGTCCCAGTGCAGGCTTGGTTTGCACTGATGAGGGATGCCCCATCCAACCTCCCTGCTCCAGGCCCTGAGCATCACTAAAAGCCCTTCCTTGCAGGCGGAGCGCCGGCAGATGGAGGAAACTCTAGGGGAAGCCAGTGACCAGGAGCAGGAGCTGCTGCTGGTTAACAGGGCCCTGGAGAACCGGCTGGATGAGGCCCAGCGCAGCCTGAGCCGGCTGTCACTGGAGCATCAGGAGCTGAGCTCTTCCTACCAGGAGGAGCTGCAGCAGAAGGAGCAGCTGAAGAGGCTGAAGATAGAGATGGAAGAGCAGAAGCGGCTGCTGGACAGGACCATTGAGAAGCTGACCAAGGAGGTGGGTGAGGCCCTGGGATCTAACTTGAGCTGTCCAGAAGGGGCTGCATGACATGTAGCTGTGGTGTGGGGTGCACCTGGGGGTCAAGGCCACATGGCCACCTGGGCCACCAGCTGTTCAGGCCCCAGAGCTAGTGCTGTCTTGGACAGCTGGTGCTAGCCCTCATCACTGGTGGGGTGACCATGGGGAAGGCCTGGGGGTCCAAGCTGGGGGGAGCAGCTCCTCAAGGGGATGGAGCTTTGGGAGCTGGAGCCACTCCTTTGACTTGGATTTTATGCACCCGAATCCCAAGACCTCTGGGGGTCACACGTGGACACTGAACCATGGGCTTGCTCCACTGGGGGAGCAGAGCCCTCGCCATGGCCTTCAGCCTCTGGAGACCACCAGTGGTGCCCACAGCAGTTCTCTGTGCCCAAACCCAAAGGCTTCCATGGTGACCCTGTCCCAACCCACCTTACTGGGATGATCTCTTCTGTCCTCCACCCAGTGTTTCCCTGTCTTGCCACATCTGGTGGCTTCCATGTGGCACCCCTGGCTCCAGGGAGGTTGGTAGCAGTCGTCCATAGGTCTCCAAGTGCTTTCTTCTCCCTGCTGCAGCTGGAGCAGATGGCTGAGGAATCCCACCACTCATTGGCCCTGCTGCAGTCGCAGCTGGAGGACTACAAGGAGAAGTCACGCAAGGAGCTGGGGGACTCCCAGAAGCAGGCCAAGGACCGGGGTGCAGAGCTGGAGAAGGCGCAGTTCAGCCTGGCCCGGCTGCAGGATGAGGTGTGGTCCCTACTTCAGAGAGGGATCCAGTGCAGTTCCTGGGGGAGATGATGCCCCTTATGCCCTACCCCACGTAATGGCGGGTGTCCAGCCTGCCTTGGAGAGATTCCAGCCCAGCCCCTGGCACCAACTCACATGTAACAGCTCGTGTGACTCCCATGCATCATCCCTGCTCCTAGCTGCCCAGTTCGTTCCTGGCATGGTCTCAGCCTCACTTGTCTTCTCTCCCTTCTGTCTCATTCAGCAGGGTAGCAAGAGGCTCCATCCCTGCCCTCCCTCCTTCCTGGCTGGACCAAGCTCCCTGCTTTGGGAGTAGGGGTCTGTGACCCCAGGGTCTGAGCTTGTTCCCAAGCCCAGCTGCTCCCAACCTGGGGCACTGGGTAGAGCAGATCCGGGGTGAGGGAAGGTTCTATGCTTCTGTGTCCCTCTCTGAGCTGGCTGCTTTGCAGAGCGCTCCTGTTGTCTGGAGGGTGCATGGCTTTGCTCTCTGGGCCATTTAAATCAGCCCTCCCCACCTGGTGGGTCCAGTGCCTGGGGCCCTGCAAGTGCCCTGGGACCTGCGTCTCTGACCACCCAGTGCAGCAGCTCTGCCCACTCCCTGCAGCTGGGGTGGGCTGGCTGTGGTGCCTCTGCTGGCCATGTCCCTGGGGACCCAGCCTGCACCATTCCTGCCCCAGCCCAGACCCGCCGCCCCATCTCTCTCCCTTCCCACAGGTCACGCGGCTCAAGCAGGCCCTGCAGGACAGCCAGGCAGAGCGGGAGAGTGCCGTGCTAGACAGAGAAGTGCTGGCCCAGCGTCTGCAGCACCTGGAGCAGCAGGTGGAGGTCAAGAAGCGCTCTCAGGATGACCGTTCCCGCCAGGTCAAGGCACTAGAGGTGTGTGACCCCTGCCAAGAGCAGCTCCTTGCTGCCACATGGCTGCTGGAAACATGGGGGGAGCAGCTTTGGGGGCTGATAAGAGGTACAGGGCACTTGAGGCTACCCAAAAACCCACCTGTTGTAACCTACACCAGCAAACAACAGCTCGGCAGCTGTTCTCGAGCATTTCACTAACACGTAGCAGCTCCCAGATCTACAGTAGCTTTCCCCAACCCAGGGGCAGGGGGCTTGGAGGTGGGGAGCCAGCCTGTTGGACCTGGCAGGGCTGGGAGCTTTCCATGGTGTTTCTCCCGAGCCTGCTGATGGCGAGCAGAGAAGCCAATCCTTCAGGAGAGCATGAAACCACGCTCATTCCTCGACCTGCTCATGACGGCAGGGGGCAGGGTTGTCCTGGAAAACTTCCCATCTCTCACCAGAATCCTGTGTGGTTTTCTTCTCTTCCCCTGTCAATTGCTAAGTTCGACTGACTCCTTCCAGCTATTTCGGAGGCTGCCCCATTGTGGGGGCTCCACCATTTGCGCCATTCTCTTTTTGGTGGGTCACAGATTCCCTCTCCGAGTGATCTGTTTTGCTGGTCTGTAGCAGCCAGCAGCTGCTTTTACATGGGGCATCACCTCTCTCTGGCTCTGCTGCATGGGTCTAACTGCCTTCATTCATCGACAGTCCAAAATGCCGAGTTGCCCGGCAGTCCCCAGTCAGCCCATTATGAAAATACAAAGGCTCTTTCCTCCTGGAACAACACAGGCCGTTCACACACAGTCTCGTGTGTGGCCTCTTGGTGTCATGGCTCCCCAAACCGCATCTGAGCACAGCAGCCTGGAGGCTCCAGATACGCTGGAGCTTCTGTCTGCATCGCTGATTCTCAAGCCTCTTGGGGTGTCGTGCGATCCTTTTCAAGGTGCAAGCAGCTACGCACAATTCGCAAAAGAAACCCAGAGATTCCCAGTATGAATCCAGAGTGTCTGTTTCTGCCCTGCCTGTGGGTTTGCTGAGCTTTTTGCCCCAGAGGAATTGCTTTGTTGTCTTTCTGTAGTTGGGGAATGAGTGGAAGCTAAGAGCTGGGGTTGTCCAAGGTGGGGCTGGAGTCTTAACAAGAGTGAGGACCACTGGTCTATGCTGACCAGGCAGACCTGGAGCTTGAAGTCTGCTCAGCTGCCCTGTATTTTAACCCGTGCTCAAGGGTGGTGCAGATTTGCCTGGCACACGGTGCCGAGGGCTGCCTCACTGGGTCCCGGCTGCAGTGTGTGGTGAGTGCTGTGTAGCTCAGCTACCTGGTAAAATATTGGAGAACAGTGTCCAGCACAGAGCAGAGGTGAGGAGGATTGTCTAGGGTGGGCTTTGTAGACATCTCCCCTGAGAGCATCAGCTGTGTGTGCTGGGCGAAGATGTTTTTGGCAGTGGGCAACCTGGGAGCCCAGCGTTTCAGCCGGCTGCATCCCGGGGAAGGAATGGCATTCCATATCCATCACCTGCCTTATCCTGCTCCCTTTGGCCCCTTGCTGGCACCTGGCAGGCTAGAGGCCCTCCCTTTAGAGAGGATGAGAAGATTTAATGAGTGGGGGAGAGGTGCTGGCAGGTAACTACTTTGCCACATCAAACCCACCTTGGCAACATCTGTGGCATGCCTTGAACAGCCCCTCGGGGAAGCGGGGGTTGGCCTGCTTCACCACTGGAGGGGTCAGCAAGGGACCTGTGCCCATGAATCAGACACTGCTTTTGAGAAGGGCACTGGGTTCTGGGTCCTAGTCCTTCTAGCTGCTCTGCTTCAGTTTAGGGATTGGCCTGGGTGGGCCCAGGTTTGGGTTCTGGGCCCTACCCCGGCTTGTGCCAAAATCCCAGTGAGAACCGAGGTCCAACATCTTCCTCTGGTGCCTGCAAGGTTAATTGCTGAGCTTCACTGCTGCTCTGGCTTTGGGAGGGAAGGTGTCCCTCACTTCCCCCATCAGTGCCTCATAAAGACCTTCCAGGAACAGGCCCCTGCCAGCTCCAGCTGACGGGGATCTCTGCTGTCTCGCAGGAGAAGTCGAAGCGCCTGGAGATGGAGCTGGATGAGGAGCGGAGCTCAGTGGAGCTGCTGACGGAGAGGGTGAACCGCAGCCGCGACCAGGTAAAGCAGGGACATGGCACCGTGGACCTCGCATGGAGGAAGCAGGGGCCTGGCCCAGGCCTGGGGTTCTCGGTGCTCTGGCACGGCATGGGTCCTGCACCTTGTCGGCATCACTGCTGGCTCCATCCCCTCTGGCTTCAGCCCCATTCCACAGTGGAAAGCTAAAAACAGGCCTTGGATTTCTCCTGGGACAAAGCCTTTAATCCTGGGCTCCTGCACCTGGCCAGCCCTGCTGTCCCTTGTTCAGTACTTCTGAAGTATCTGATTGCCTTGGGAAAATCATGGCTACTTCGAGTTAATTGCCATTCCAGCTGCATGTGCAAATAACTCTTTCCAGGCCCCCCTGGACCCCCCAAACCTGTTTTAATCGGGGCTGATTTAAAGTGGAATTAAAGTGCGAGACTCATTGCCACCAGACGTGGGGGAAGCTGAGAGTTTAGCCAGGTTCACAAAGGGATTGGACCCATTCTTGAAGGAAAGGGCCATCAGTAGCTATTGAGCACAAAGTGAGGGGCACAGCCTCTGCATCAGAACTGCCTGGATCCTTTGATGCTGGAAGCTGCAAGGGAGAGAAAAAGGAAAAACCCTGCTCAGACCCAGGTCACTCCTCCTTCTAGCTTCCGTGCTCTGGCCCTGTGTGACATCAGAGACTGGGCAAGTCCGACCTAGGGTCTGACCCCCTCAATGGCCGTTCTTATGTCTTTTATTATATTCTTATGACTTGTCCTGGGGTTTTTTGCTCCCATCCAAAGAGCCGTCATTTACACAGGGCTGGGATGGCAGTTGACTCTGATTAGCACCAATTGGCTGGGGTGGGGGGTACTTCCCTGGTTTTCAGGGTAGGACAAGGGGCCTGAAGGCAGGGTACATCCGTGCCTTCGTAGTGACAGCTGGAACTGGAGACTGCTCAGAAGCCCCTGTAAAGTACTGCGATAGCACCTTCTTTTTCCCTCTGGGTCAATTGGAACTAACTTGAGTTAATTGCCATTCAAGTTGCATGTAGAAAGAATTGTCCCAAGACAGTTGGACATGGGATAAACCTCATGTCCAGGCCCAGCGTGCTGTTATGCCTACAGCCCAGCCCTGTCCAGACCCCAGGGCATCGGAGCCAGGGCCTTGTGATTCCTGGCTTTGGAATACAATCCTCTGTGTGGCCTCATCCAAGTCCCTCCCTTCTTGCCTCAGTTTCCCCTTCCCTATGGGGGCAGCTGGTGAGCAGTCGGCTGAGAGAAGCTGTGAAGCAAATCAGCTGAGATGTCTGCTTCATTGGGTGAAGTGGATGTAATAGGACTGCAGGGCTGGAAGGGACCTCCCAAGGTCATGTCTAGTCCACCTCCCTGCTTGAGGCAGGATCAGTCCTGTACAAACCATCCCAGCCCCATGTCTGTCCGGTCTGCTCTCAAAAGCTTCCAAGGATGGAGATTCCACCACCTCTAGGTGCCTGTTCTCATGCTCAACCACCCTTATTGCCAGAAAGTCCTCAAATCCCTGAAGGGTGATGCCAGAAAGGATGGAGTTGGGCTTTTCTCTGTGGCTGCTGGGATCAGGGCTAAGAGCAACAGCCTCAAGCTGCAGCAGGGGAAACTGAGGCTGGAGATGAGGAACTATTATTAAATCCCTGCCTCAGTCTTCTCTTTTCCAGGCTCAGTAACCCCAGCTCTTCCAGCCCTTCCTCATCAGTCTTGTCTAGTCTCCCAGGCCCCTAGGACCTGATCCTGTGCACCCCAGGAATGGGAGTTCTTGGGGCATGAGGGATCAGGCCCCTGAAGTCCCAGGCATGCCTGCCCAGGGTGGCTGGAGAGCATGGGCAGCCCCAGGGCTGCCTGCCATCTCCCACCTTGCAGCAGACGTTGGCCATCACATGGCAGCATGGATTCATATGGCCTGCATCACAGCCGAAGATTTTAGGTATGACAAGGGGCACAAACATGGTTGCTTGGCTTTTGCACTGCCAGAAAAGTACACCTGCATCTGTGCATCATAACAATACCTGTGGCAACATCTATCTTTGCCCAGAAGATGCAAGTCTGCCCTGCCTTCTGAATGACTTCAGGCTAACACAGCTGCCTATCTCTATACCCAGAAGGCTCCCCAGGACATACAACTAAATTGGTTGTGGGAAGCGGGGGCTGGGCTGGTTAAACTGAATGAAACCTCTGCATGGTGTTCAGTGGTTTAGGCTCATGCGAAGCAGTCTAGGTGTGCACATACACAGGGTGCTGCTAGGGTGCAGACTTGATGCGTTTCCTGCTCTATGCTTCCACCCATGTGCACACTCTTCCTCGTGAATGCGAGGCCGCCTGCTGTCATTGATAATGGGGCAAGCACATGTGTGGGCAGTTGCTGTGGAGCAGCTGCAATGTGGTCTGTTCATCTCCTCACTTCCTTGGTGGTGGCTGGGGGGAGCTGGGCACATCCCATTGTGCCCATGCCTCAGGGCCTGCTCTTGTGGCCCCAGGCTGTGGTGGAGCTGGACTCGCTGCCCTTCTGAGCCTTCGGTTCCTGTCATGCCTATGGGAGCTGGAGGGGACATGCAGCTAGTCATGGGAGGCTGTGTGTATGGGCCCATCCAGAGAGTGGCTCCCGTGCTTGGCCACGGTTTGGCCTGTGCGACTCTTTCTCTTTGGCACACGGGCCCTAGCATCGCAGGTCTCCGTGATGGGCAAGTGTAATCCCTGCTTTGTAGCCAGGGTGAAAATAGGGCTCCATGCAACTAAAGAGTCCCCGGCCCTCTATAGCATCTCACTCTGACAGCTGGAGCCTATCAGCTGCATGGGCAGTGTTATCTTGCAGGGCTGCCCCCAGCGAAGGCTGAGGCACCAGGTTGTGACCAGAGATGAGACCTGGGACTAACCTCCCCCACCTTCCCCCACCCTTGCAGATCGACCAGCTGCGGGCAGAGCTGCTGCAGGAACGTTCCAGCCGCCAGGACCTTGAGTGTGACAAGATCTCCCTGGAGAGGCAGGTATGGCTGTGCCACGCTGCTGGTGCTGGGGCTGGGGGGCAGGTCACTTCCTCCAGCCTGTGCAGAGGCACTGCCCACAAGTTTTTTGTTTGTTTGGTTTTTTTTCCCCCGCCCCCCAGCCAAGGGGTTGACCCTAGGTGGGAGGGCTGGAGTTGTGAATCTGAATGGTGCAAAATGTCGTGTCCTGCAGGGAATGACCCTGCCTGCATTGGGGAAGTAGCATGTGGGGGGCAGCAGCCCCATTCTTTTCTCCCTTTCCCCCCATCCTGTGTTGGGCATCAGCTGCCAGCTCTGCTTCCTGCACCCATCTCCTCGCTCTTCCAGCCCCTCCTGGGTCAGCTGGTACCTTGTCTTGCAGCCATGATCATGAGCTCTTGGGGCAGAGATGCTCCAGGCCTCTTGGCAAGAGGGAATGCAGCCATCTGCCCCCCTCCGAGGGCTTAAAGTAGGAGGAGCCAGGGAGAAGGGTACTCATGTGCACTGAGTTAAAGGCCAAGGTTACCTTGGCCTCTGGGCCTGGAGGATGGATCAAAGCCAGGCACAGCACTGCCCTGAGCAAGAAAGGTGGCCTGGCTCTGCTCCATCCTCCAGGCCCAGGGGAACCTTATAGTGTGGTAAAGCAGCCATCCAGGGGGGTGACCTGGCTTCTCCCAGGTGATGCCAGCCCAGCAGGGTCCCCAGTGCAGTGATCTCCAGGCCTGGGTTGGGCCTGGGGCTAAGAGTTGAGGCCTGGCCTACAACACACTGTGCACAGGACCAAGCGCCCGCAGCAGTCCTGGCCATCCCAGGGCAAGGCTCCCTCCCCAGGAAGCTGCTGGCAGCAGCATCAGTGCCTCTGTCCGTACCATGGTACTTGCTTGCAGTGGCCTGGCCACTGTGAGCTTCATGTAGTGCAGCTACTGAGGCTCCTGGCAGGCAGTGAAAGCAGCTGCACCCCAAACTGCAGAGGCTCTCAGCTCTCCGGCATGCCCCTCTTGAGTCCAGGAGGCCTGAGGCTGGGGGAGGTGCTGACATGGAGCTGCCCCCTGAGTCCACACCTGGCACTGAGTGCTTTGGATGGTACTGGGGTCCATGAGGCAGCTGTTCCCTGCCTGTGGCAGCTCTGGCACTACTGGCTTCATCTAGCAGGCAGGTTCCTAGCTCCCCAGCATGTACAAAGCCGCTCTGCCCCACGTGCTCTGGCCGCCTGTCTGCGCTTGCACTGTGGGGGCCATGCAACTGCATGCCAGCTGCGGGCAAGTCGGGCTGATCTAAGAGGAGCTCCTCAAGCTGTTCTTGTTCCATGTCTGTGGTTTAGCCAGGACAGCCAGGGTTGGGGCACAGGAGCAGGGCACTGATCCGACTTTCTGGAGCCCTCTTACCTCTCCTCCTGTGAGGCCTGCGGTCCAGCCTAGGAGGGACAGTTCTGCCGGCTGCATCAAGTGGGATGGGCTGGGGACCTCCCTAACTCTTCCTAGCGCCACTGGGGGGAGGCAGAGTCTGTCTGCAGCGGGTGACCTGTGCTCTGGGCGGTGCAGGCAGATGAATGACCTGCGCAGTGGAACTGAGCTCTGCTCCGCAGAGTGCCCTTGTCAGGAGGCCCCAAGCTGAAGGCTTTTTCACCCAAACTGCATGCCCACAGAAGCCTGTGTATGTGTGCATGTCCATGTCCCTGGGTGCAGGTGTGTGCATGCAGGTCTGTGCCCACAGCAACATGCATGCAGTGTGTGCCCATGGGAGAAGGCGTGTGGTGCATTCACACCCTTCTTTTTGGGCCATAATGAGGGCAGACACAGTAGAGGCCCCAACTCTGGGGAGTCTGGTCCCAGCAGAGACATTGCCATCCCCTGGCGATGGGGCGGTCACACCCCTGGCACATTCCAGCATGCGGCAGGAGTGAGGGCACCGCCTGTTCTTGGCGCCCGGGTCCCTCCTGCTCACGGCTGTGCCCGCACCCAGCTGGCCCCGCTCCTAATTGCCATTATATAACCCTACTTGTTAAATCCCTTTGGGAAAGGGAGCTCCAGGCCTGACTCACTACCGGGGCTTATGTAAGAGGAGAGGAGCCCAGGGTCACACCCTCACCGCAGGCACGGGGCTTGCTCACTGTCTCCAATGCCTCTCGCCAGAACAAGGACCTGAAGAACCGCCTGGCCAGCTCAGAGGGGCTGCAGAAACCCAGTGCCAGCCTGACACAGCTGGAGTCACGGGTCCAAGAGCTGCAGGACAAGCTGCAAGCTGAGGAGAGGTAAAGCAGAGATTCGGGGACCCTGGAGCCGAGGAAAGCACCTCATACTGGTGGGACTGGTATAGCCGTATCCCACATGGAGAAGCCAAACCAAGGCCCAAGTCTTGCTACTCCTCTGCCCAGAGAGGTCATAGGTCCCTGTGACAATGAGGAGAAACTGAGGCAGAGCCCATAAGGGGTGTAGTAGCCACCCCCTTCCCCATGCATGTGGCCCCAGTATCACAAGGGACTTCAGCCTGTGACTGACACACAGGCGAGTGCCACATGCCTGAGCAAAGCTGCACATCCAATGTGCTCCCAGGGAGAAGAACGTGCTGGTGTCTTCCAACCGCAAGCTGGAGCGGAAGGTGAAGGAGCTGACAATCCAGATTGATGATGAGAGGCAGCACGTGAATGACCAGAAGGACCAGGTGTGACATGCATGTGTGCACGCACGCTGCCCGCCATGTTCCCAGCCCTCCCCTGCTTGCACATCTTTCTGCTGTTATTCATGGCAGCCAGTTCCTGGGTACTTGGTGGGTGGGGACCAGGCAAAGCCTGGGCCACAGCGTCTGCATGCCCAGCCAGAGCTGTGGAGTATGCGTCACCGTTTACATAACCGACCCCCAGGCCGCTTGTGGGGTGGGGGGGCCTTGGGCCTGCAGCACAAACCCAGGTCCGTACTCGTGCCTGTTGCATGAGATGCCCGTGTGCGTGTTCTGAACCTCGCACGGGGAGGGGGTGGGGCAGCCTGGGGCTAGTGGGGCACCCCTCAGCCCAGCCCAGCCTGCCCCACGCCTGCCCATGTCCTGCAGCTGAGTCTGCGCGTCAAAGCCCTCAAGCGGCAGGTGGACGAGGCGGAGGAGGAGATAGAGCGCTTGGAGGGCGCCAGAAAGAAAGCACAGCGGGAGCTGGAGGAGCAGCACGAGCTCAACGAGCAGCTACAGAACCGTGTCAAGGCCCTGGAGAAGGAGGCCTGGTGAGGAGCATTTCTGGGGATCCCTCGTGCTGTCCAACTCTCCATCATTCCTGGGGCCCTTGCCATGGTCCATGTCCTGCTGCCCTAGCCCAGAACACAGCTCCTTTGGGGTAACCACAGCCAGCCAGCTCCTGCCTCTCCTCCCTGCTCTTCCCAGCTCAGAACCAGTCCCTAAAGGAAGGACCTCAGCAACAGGCCCAGATCTTTCTAGGGGCCACGAGGGATGGAGGTGTCCTGGTCCTAGAGGGTTTAGGTGCCCAACTCCTGTTACTCCTAGTCACATTCGGGCTCAGGGCTGTTCTGTGCCAGCAACGACTCCCTTTCTTCTGCCCCCCTCCCACCAGGCGCAAAGCAGCACGCTCGGCCGCAGAGGCCTCGCTGAAGGATGACCAGCTGAGCTCGGACGAGGAGTTTGACAGTGCTTATGGCCCATCCTCCATCGCCTCGCTGCTGACTGAGGCAAACCTGCAGACCAGCTCGTGCTAGCGGCTGCCATGCGGGGGGCCGAGCCGGGCTCCTCCCATGGACAAGGGCCAGACCCAGCTTCTCTCGAGGGGCAAATGCCTCCTCAGCATGGAGTTGACCAGGACACGAGCCGCGCTGAAGGAGCTGTCAGCCAATGGCGGCACCAGGCCTGGTTGCGAACTCTAGCAATAATCCCATGAAGGAAGGCAGGCTGGTGTTTGGGTTAATTCTCGTGGGGGTGGGGACAGATGGAAATGGGGGAAGGTACCCCAGCAAATCCTATTTAACGGTTCTTTGTTCTCAGGGCATCGCTTTAAGGATGGACAGCTCACATCTTAACCAAATATTTTTGTACATGGGGGTGGGGGGGTGGAATATGTGTGGGCATGGGTGTGCAATAGGAGAGGGCGGTGGCCCCTGGGGCTCAGAGGGGGCTATGTTTCTGGCTCTGACCTTAATGGAGAAGTGTGGCAGAGACCATGGGTGTTTGGTGCCTCCTGACTTGGGGGGGGCACTTGGCCCCACAGCAGCCAGTCAGCAACTGGGTTGGGGGGGATCGCACTGACCACGGGGGGTGGTTCTGAGTTGGTACGATCAGTCGTGGGGGAACACCCTCCCCGCCCCTTCTCCTGGCACCCCCACTCCCCGGCTGGTGCGCTCGCGTGGGGGGGGACGACACGGGGACCAGTGCTCTTGCCCCCCCCACTTGTCGCCTAAGTGGGGAATGCTGGCTGTTGGGGTGCACCAGCACTCTTGGGGTGTACGTGCACCTGCTATACGCTGCCGCTGGCAGGGATCTGCTGGACACTGTCGCCCCCCAGGCTGTTGTAGCAGACCAGGAGCCAGGCTGAGCCTGGTGTGTAGGCACCTAGTGATACCCCTCAGGTGCTCAGAGCTGGAGGTCAGTGCTTAGCTGGGCACCTGTGTGCCTTTGTAATGAGTCCCGAGTCTATCTAGACCCCCCTGGAGTGGAAAAGCCAAGGGTTTTTGGCCTGTGGCAATCCCTGGGGGTGCTTGGGGTCCAGCCTTAGCACTGATGTTCTTCTTTCCCCATTCCCCTCCGTCCTGCCCCAGTCCTCTTCTGACAATGGACTGGGTGAGGGGGGTGAGATGCCGGAGCAGACCCTAGCTAGGGCAAGTGGCTTCTGTGTCGCTGGCTTGGTCCCTCATGTGCCTCCTGGGAGGCTCCAGGGCTGTCTCCAGTGCAGAATCTCCTTGCCCCTGGCCTCTTGCTCAGGTCTGAAGCTGGGCAGCCCACCAGTCTGGGGAGAGCAGGGCCTAGCCAGTGGCCACTTGTGCAAGGGGCTGGGATTGGAGAAGCCAGAGCAGGAGCCTAGTGGAGCCTTGGCTGTCCAGTGTCCCCTAGTATGAGTGGGAGAACAAAGACTGTCAAGGAGGCAACATACATGGGCTGCATCTGTGCCCTGGAGCCATTGACTGGAACCCAGGCATTGGTGACACGAGCCTAGGGTCCAGTGCGGTCTACAAAGGCTGGCCAGAGCCCCGCGTAAGCCCTGGGGCTGCTGGCCTGCACTGCTGGGTCCCTGCCCCAGGGCTGCGCCGCTGCTGCTGCTGGCGCTGGCTGGGTTCGAGTGACCCTGTCTACATAGACTCAGGCACTGCTTGCTTTTAGGAACGTGAAGCTGGAAGGCAGCTCCAGGGTCTCCCAGCTCCTGCTATCATGGGTGCCAGCCTTGGCCTCGCTGGACAGTGCAGCCACCTGTTCCCATTGACAAAGGCCGGTCTGCTGCAGTTACTTCACTGCTCCAGCCCTGAGTTCCCCCCACTGCAGGGCAGGCCTTGACCCCAGTGCCTTAATTCTTGGGGGGATTTAGCCAGAGAAATTCCCAGTGGGAATTTGGGGTGAGGTTAGAACAGACTTTTAAACTGGTTTCAGTTCAGGGACCATCTCTGGCTTCATATCCCCACCCCCTGTGCCTGGTCTCACCTGAACCTGCTCCAGTCTCATGCCCTTCTGACCCCACCTTATCTAATTCTTCTGTCCTGGCCCCTGACCTGACCCACGGCAGCACCTGCTCAATGCCGGCAAGGCCTTGAGTGCTTTGAGTGGTCCCTGCAGCCATATGCCAAGGATGGGGCAAGAGGCTCTATGGGCCGTGGGAACAGCAGCTCCAAGGGAAACTGCCTGCACATCTGGTCAAGTTGGAAGGTATCGGAGCAGTGACAGGCTCCAGGCTGCCTGCAGGGCACTGCTTGTCACCAGTCCCTGTGAGTCCTGTCTTCCAGGGCAGTTTGCTGGGTTGTGCCAAGGGCCGCAGGTTCGTGGCTGGAGGAGCACAGGCTCATCTGTGGCTTCAGGAGGAAGGTTTTGGGGGTTGCCACCAGCCTTCCAGATTTGACTCCCAGCGTGGAGGAGCCTGGGCTTGGGCTGTGGGTCTAGGCAAGAAGAGCCCTGAGCATCCTTCACAGGCTGCTCAGGCCACAGGCATGGAGCTGGCTGGGCTGAGTGACTCCAGGCTGCACTGCACAGGGCTGAGCTGGTGCTAGCACCCACCCGCAGCAGAGCTGGGGCCATCAACACTGCTCCCCCCAGGCTCTCACCCCAGTGTGTAAGGTGGGGAGAAGGGGTTACCTGCTTGGGGATGGGGAGGGCCTGGCCGCTCTCTCCTGGGGCTGTGAGGGGATGTTTGACCCACAGTCCCCCACAGAGTGGTTGGCACACAAGGCGGATGCCGGTGTCTTGGACGGGAGACATTTAAGTGACTCCTGCCTGTTCCAGCTCATGACTATGGATCAGGTTCTCCTGCCTTTTCCCACAAACTTGTATTTTAAATAAACTTTATATATTCAAAGCTGAGTCTGGCTGCACCTAGTGTTTGCAATTGGGAGTGCAAGGGGTGCTAGTCGGGGCCCAGGTCCCATGTGATGCCCAGTGCCCAGCGTGGATGTGCAGCTAAAACCTGCTTGTGACCCTGGCCTGCGTGCCACAGCCAGACGCCAGTTGGCTTTGGCACTTCACATTTTAGAGCAGCTGTGGCCATGATCCTGGGGCTCTTCAGGTCCTGCTGACTGACGTGGGTCTAAACCAGGAGTCTGTAAACTCAGCACGGCTTTAAAGCTCGGCTAAGGGGGCGGTGTTGTGTAGCAGCCCCTGGGCTCTTGGGCTGGGATGTGCCCGCAGCACCAGGGCAGTAGGTGTCCCCTCCAGGCTGGGTTGGACATCTGCACAGAGAGGCCCTGGCTCCTGCAGCTGTCTCAGCCTGTCCCCAGGATATGGGATGACTTGGATCTAGGGTGCCCGGATGGTGGTTGTGCAATGGGCGTTGGCGGCTCCTGCCCAGCCTCAGGTTCTGCATGTGGGATGGGATCCCTGCCCAGCACAGGGCCACCCACTGCGGGGGCTGGGGTCTGCGTGTTTGCAGGGCTGGGCGGGGGGCACAGGTCTGAGTCTGCTCTTGAGAATTGGTACCCCCCACCCTGGCCACACGGCTTATGCAGTAGCATGATCAGAGGGCACCCTCCAGAGAGCTTGTCTCCCCTTGCCAGCATCTCTGCTCCAGGAGGCCTTGACCGTGAATTCAAGTCGTTCTTTCTGCACTGTACCCCGGCTCCGGGAGGCTGGTTGAGACCAACGGCCTCTGAGAGCGCACGGACTTAAGTAGCCTGAACACAGAGCAACACAGGCAGGAGGCCAGCTGGGAACCCCCTTCCCCTCCCAGCCTCAGAACAACAGCTTGAAGCCTGTGGATCCGGGAGCTAGGCAACATGGATGGTCCCCCTGGCCTGTGACACGCAGTGAGGGTCTGAACAGGCCTCCCTGTTTCTGGGACCAAGATAGAGCAGCCACCTGAAGCCACAAGTGTGCGGGCCTCACGTCGTCTTTCCAGTTGCCTTCAACGTGCTGCTCTGTCTCTCGAGGGATCCTTCCATAGTCCGTCCTAGAAGGATCTACTGAGAAAACCTTGTGCATGAGAGATCCTGGCAGGGCAGCAGGTGGCAGCTCAGAGCAGAGGTCCTGCACCAGTGACTGTGGTGAGCGAGGCTTTGCCATTGCCCTGATTTGTGTCCTGGCACTGAAAGGTAAATCTGAATGAAGGAAAGGTGTGACCTGAGGGCAGCTGAATTCAACTGCATTGAGCCCCTGGATGCATGCTGTTTTGAGGTGGATCTAGGATATTGTAAAGGGGGGTGCAGATGATGTGGTGTATGACACGACACATTTGTCTCCAGTTAGAGAAGCTAGGCATTTTGCTAAGGCTAGGTGGCTAGCGTCATACAGACTGAACTCTTTGCAGGTGCACTGATCTTCTAGATTATATATAGTTTTAAAAAAACTGCAACATGCCAGAAAAAAATAGTCAAAATGTATTGGGTCATTAGTCGTTTTAGTGAAATGCATGTCTCATTCAGATTCATAAAACAAAGTCTTGCTGCCTTGAGCCTCTTGACAACACTTCTAATACTTCACAGGCGGTAATTTTGACATCTGAGTTGATCTGACCACACCTGAGTTATGGTTTTAGCTAGAGCTAAGAACAGTCTGCAGGGCTGTGAAATAGGAGAAACGTTACCAGGGAGGGTTGATGAACAGCAGCGTTGCAGAAGAAAGGCTAGGCCGAGTTGTGGAACATCAAGGCCGTTGAAAAAGAGAGTGGGGTTAACACCTGTGGAGGGGTCAATTGATTTCTATTCAGGCAGTGCTGAGGAAATGTTGATGCCCTTTCCAGATTTTAAAGTTTGGGTGGAGCAGAGATCAAAGGGGGACACAACTGCATTACTTCCTCCCCCCCCCCAACATTACCAAAGGCAGATCCATCTAAATCCACCTGAGATTGTGGGCACGTAAGGAAGTTGCTGTGAGGTAAGTTTCTGGGCATCAGCTGCTCCAGGGCACTGGCCCAGGGCAGGTTCCCACCCCATCATAAAGGCAGGGTCAGCCACCCCTGGCTGCTTATCGGTTGTGAATAAGATTCCACCACCAGGACAAGTTCGACCTGTGTTGCAACTCAGTCGCCTGCCATGGCTGTGTGTCGTGAACAGGTATGAGCAGAGTTGTTATCTGACGGAGGCACTCATTAATTCTAGGTCCCTTGCAAGCGTGGGGGATGGGAGGAGGAAGTGACTTGCTGATTAGCTGGGGAAAGAGTTCATTGAACACTGCCGGCTCCAGGGCTGCAAACTAATCTGTACAGAGCCAGGCACTGCCCTTTGGCCTGAAAACCAGGGAGCGATTCTCTCTCTGGCACAAAGGCACGCTAGGAATTTGACAGCAGCCCCAAGGTATCAGAGGCAAGAGGGGGAGGCCAAGTGTTATCTGGATCTCTGGGAGAGCTTATTTCTGACTTGACGGACCTAGGGAAACCCCCTGATCATTAGCCCAGTGGGGGCTGGCTCAGTGGAGGAAGGCACTGGCTTGCTGGCCTTGGAGGCTGGAATTCAAGGGGTCCTTATACACCTAGCCCAGTGGTATCTGACAGCTGCCTGCTCCATGTTGCCTAAGAGGCTGATGAATCTGCTGCGAGGCCTCGGGGCCACGGCTGGTCCCTTTGCGGGTATTTGCTTGGTGCCAGGTGAGCTAGGGCTGAGGACCTGAGGTGCTGCCGTGATGGGGGTGCCTATGAAGCAGTTCGATGGGCCCTCAAAGGGGTTGGGGGGGACGGGTGCTGTTGCCTCCAGGGCTGACACTGGTTCATCCCTGGCCTCGGGCATGTCTCGTCCCTGCCTCAGTTTCTCTCTTGGGGACAGGGGTAGTGACGTAACCTTGACCCAGCTTCCACGCCTTGCCCTGCCCTTGCACGGCTAGCATCAGGGATAATTTTAGACACCGGGCTCCCGCAGCACTTAGGTTTGCCTGGGGCTCTGGGTCTTGGCTCTTCAGGACCAAGGCAGAGCCTGTGGCTGAGCGGCTGTGTCAGGCCGGGCAGCAGGGTGCAGGCAGCAGGAGTGACAGACAGCACCCAGCCTGGGGGAGATGGGCCACCTACCCTGTCACTACCCCCTCCTCGGTGTACCCCGGGCCTCATCTGTGGAGCCAGCAACGGCTGCGGTGGAGCTGGGGCCTGGAGGGAGCAGACCCAGGGCCAGGCAGCAGCAAGGGCTGTATCTGCACAGCCCGTGCTCACTCCTTGCCACTGATGACTGTGTCCATTAGGGTAGGGGGACCTTGAACTCTGCTGCAGTGACTGCCCTACCACCCTCCAAGTTCCAGTAGCCTGCGGGGCTACCAGCAAGGCCCAAGGGAATGGTTTTAGGGCTAGATGCAGCCTGGGGGCTGTATTTGCCTCCCCTCATGTACCTGCTGTAGTGACTACCCCCAGCCCCTGGTGAGCAGGTCCCTGTGCATCCTGCAGCCTTTGCTTCCAGATGTAGCAGAGAATGACCACAGCCTGACGGGTCCTGTCACATGTCCCCAACACAGGGATGTTTCCAGGCCTGCGTTTTCCCCCTTCTAGCCGTGGCCCAGAGCTGAGGGGGTGATGTGCTCGGGTTGCCAGTGGAAAAAAGGTTGAGAACCCAGGAGTCCATGTTCCCTGCTCTAACCACTACTCTGCATTCCCTCTCTGGGTGGGGCAGACTGCTACAACTCCCCTTCCGCATGCCCAATGAGGACATTGAGGCTCTGGGGAACATACCCCCTGCTTTGCAATCCTGGTTCTGCTTCGTCCCATGGTGGGCTGGGCTGTGGTGCCACCCCCTCGAAGGGCTTGTCTGTAGGGAGCAGGGGAGGCTCCTGCTGCGCTGGCTTGCGCGGGCACATCTGCACCTGCCTGCATCTGGTTCTACTAGTTCCCTTCCCCTGCCGCACATTTGAGCCGTGCCAACCCTTGTGTGGGCAGGTGATTTTAGATTCAACATCTGCACTGAGACCTCCTGGATGGACTCGAAACCAAGCAGAAAGGAGGCTCTTGGTCTCCCCGCCCGCTCCAGGGGCTCGCATGGGTTTGCTTAGGGCAGCGATTCTGAACCAGCTGCCACAGTACCCGCAGAGTCTTGAGATTCCTTGTTGCAGCCGAAAGCCATTGCCCCATGTACCATGGGTGACAGAGTCTGGGGGGGCACCAGTGGCTGATTGCAGTGCCAGTGGCAAAACTGGAAGGGTCCCCTCTACCCCAATGGTCAATCTCAGGGGGGCACTGGCCAGTGATTCACTCGGCGCCCCCACTCCCTGGGCAGCGAGGGCCAATCTCTGAGGGGGTGGGGCAGGGGGGGGGGGGGGCTTTTCCCCCCCCCCCCCCCCCATGTCACCTGTGCTGTGTCCCATTCCCTGCACCCTGGAGAAGAGTGTCTCCATCCTCTTCACAACCATCCTTAGGGTATTCAAAGGCTGGGATTGATCAAATCCTGCCTCGGTCTTCTCCAGGCTCAGCAATCCCACCTCTTCCAAACTTTCTTCATCAGTCATGTCTTAGACCTCTAATCACCTGTCGCACTGCTGGACTCTGTCTCCGTCTACCTCCTTCTGGAAGCCTGGGCCCTAGCACTGGGCCTAGTGCTCCCAGGAAAGTCTACCAGAGGCTGAAGGAAGTAGGTAAATCGCTTCCCTTGACTTGGAGCCGCCCCTCCTGTGGCTACAACCACTGGGCTCTCTGGAAGGACAGCACTCCAGATTTGTGTCCCCCTTGCCATCCGCTATAGCCCCCAGGTCCTTATCTGCAGTGCTGCACCCTGGACAATGGTTCCCTGGGCTCTCGGTGCATGCAGTTCTTCTGTCCAAAGTGCAAGCTTTTGCTCTGGACCTTATTGAAGGTTGTTCAATTCATTTTGGCCCCTTTTTCCAGCTGGGCCAGTTGCCCTTAGATGGCACCAGGGTGCTGGGGGTTTTGCCCCACACTTTGTAGTGGTATGGGGCTGCCCCTGGAGAGGATGCCTGGGGGGATGATTAACAGCTGTGGGGCAGTCTCTGGGCTGGATGGGAGCTGGCTGGAGCCAGGTGACCAGGAGTGGAGGTGGCTGCCTTGTAAGTTAGCAGAGCTGCCTGCGATCCCAATGTAGCTGACTGGTCAGCTACATTGGATGATGGTGTCGCTGTGGACGTAGTCTTTCTAGACTTTAAGAAGGCCTTTGACACTGTCTCTCACCCCATCCTCATCAATAAATTAAGCGACTGCGGCCTTGATGCCTGCACAGTTGGATGGGTAAAAAATTGGCTGATGGGGCGCACCCAGAGAGTAGTGGTGGACGGGTTGTACTCAACCTG